GAACCCATCTATTTTAAGGAAGAAAATTAGCATATTGAACTATCCTTTCCGGTTCTTGGCCAGTTTTGGTCTTGAATAAAGCATCTTCCTTGCTATTTTACTACTCTTTAAAACATGTTGATATTTCCTACTATTTTTTCACTTTTCTTTATTTTACCTTGCTATCCATTTATATATAAGATAAATATAAGTAGTCCCATGCTGACAGACTGTACTTGGACCATATGTAATCCTGTGTTACTGTGTCAAAGACAGCTGAAATCTCAGAGTAATTCCAGTAACATTTATGTATTTTATTGCATTTCAGCTTTCATTATAGCTTTAAGCTGCTTATTGTTATGTATTATTTGAAGTAAGATCTTCATAATGTCTTCTCGTGGAGGTTATTTCTGTCATTTGAAAGTATTGCTTATTTTGGTGTAATGTAGAATCAGTTCTGTTTCCAGAAAGCTAATTTCTTGCTAATGTAGTTATGGTAAACTCAGTGTGTGTGGGAAGGGATGCTGGCATACTCTAGATGTGATAGACTGCTGAATATGATTTGGTAAATGAAATTCATCCCTAATTTAGTAATACTACTTTGTTAGGCAGTGATATGTTTTCTATGTAGAGATAAACCAAAGTCCTGATAATCTGGTGCCTGTGCAGATTCTTGTCTCTTCAGAAGTGCTAATTTTTTTATCTTGGTCAAGTACTTCTGTAAGGGATTAGGTTCAGTTAACATAAATAGCTTCTGCAGTCTTCATTCTATACAATAAGCTTTCAGTTTTAGTAGTTTTAAGGAACATGCCACTGCTCCACAGAGAATTTAACAACTGTTTAATGCCATAGAGATCCGCCAGTTTTATTTATTAGTTTAAGTGCTCTATGAATACTCTTCTTTTGAGATACACACTTGAGCAGTGCCATGCATGCTTAAAATGTGTGAAGTCTAATTGATTTTTCCTTTGTCACTGAAATAATGTGGTCTGGAGTGTATAGCTGTAGTGTAGGAAGAAAGATAATGTCTCCAGGCAAATACAGAAGCTTATTCAGGATACTTTTGGTGTAATTATCAGAGGAAAATACAAAACCGGAAGAGGCATGAGGCATATATGGAGTCCTGCTAATGATTACAGATTGTGTGTGTGCTTAGTGTAATGGGTGCAGTAGTTGGTTAAAATTTATGACATGGTCTTGATAGAAGGTAATGACAAACAGGAGACCCATGATAGATGTTATGTTTTTTTTGTTAAGTCAGTTGCATGTAGAAGAGTGAGTTACAGGTACAGAGTCAGATCAGACTTGGGTTTTGTCAACTCTGATTGAGTCTTGAGAGAAGTGGAATTTAGAAAGAGGCTTGAGAAAAACAAGTTTGTCTGTGAGTTTCATGTCTGCACTAGGACAGAGCAGTAGCAAGTTCTCCGTGATCTGCCCTTTTCCTAACTGTAAATAACTCTGAGGTTTCCTAACTGTAAATAACTCAGTGGTTTCTGAGACACTGTGAAAGAAACAGGCAGTTACAAGTTCAGACATATGTCAGACCTGGCTATTGTCTTATATAGAGTCACAGTTATTTTAATACAGTTACATTAAGTCTAGAAAATCTTTAGGTCAGTGAAAACAGGATTTCAAAATAAAGAAATATTTTGGGATGTGATCTAGGATAATTTAGTGTACATTGTCTCAAACTAGCTAAATTATGCACAGTCATACTCTCAGATCTTACATTATTATTGTAATTGATGCAGATTTGTTTCGACTTGTTTTTCTTTCCCAGCAAATGTTCTGCTTTTTGGTGCTAGAAAGATTCATGTAAAAGCAATGTTTCTTCTGAAGTGTTGCGATTTGAAATAATTTTAAATCTGACACAGATTTTATTATTTTTAAACTAATAAAATACAGTGGTTTAGAAAAGGAATATACATTAAGGACTCCCAAGTTCTGATGACAGAACTAGGTATGATCAAGAAGGCATATGGCTGAAATAAAAAGTTGTGCAATATTCCTTTCACCCCGAGGCAGGCAAGGTCCCACACACGTAAGCAGAATGGAAATGAAATGGGAGAGGGCAGTTATATGTGTGTGTGTCACATTTGTTCTTGTAAATAATAATTTCTCCGATAACAGATGCTGTTTCTGAAGTACTTTGGGGTTTACTGAAGTGTGGTGCTAGACAGTGCTCCTGCTCTCAGGCATCCACAGATGCAATATCTGAACACGGGGAGAAGTTTGATCCCTTATCATCCTGCAGTGTTATCATTGAGTATGAATGGAAGCTGATTGTTAGATGAGATTCAGAAGAACAAGAAGAGAACAGATTATTTCTCTTCAATACAAAGATGATTCATTATACTTGAGAGGAGATGAACAAACTGTTCTGTTTTCTAGAATTGAATTGTTGTGAAACTTTAGAAATAGTGACATCAAATAATTATTGGAGACTAATTACCATTGCAAGAGTCTCTTGTTCTCCATTCCCATTTAATGGTTTGTTCGATGTTGTACGTAATGTTAATTTATCCATCATAAGTATCATACATGTATATATAAAAATAAATAAAGCTGCACCACAGTTAGAGAAGAGATTTCTGTTGCTTTGCTGCTTTCAGCTCTTGTGTGCTGATACATAAGAGTACTGAGTGTATGTTCATGTATGGCTTCTTCACTATTTCTTTTCTCGCTTAGGGCCACATTGAAGATACTTCTAACTGTGTCCATGTTTCTGAATTCCTTTAAACAGTCTTGGTTCCCAGATAGGCAATACTGGCTTAACCCAGTAAAGAAATTGATTGTTCTGCATATTTAGGAAGGAGTTCGCTCATTTTGCTCTTTAATTGGTTATGAAATGTAAAGAAATACTAGTTAATTTTCAAGACAGTTTTTCCAAGGAAACTTCTGGGAAAAGTGATTTAATAGGTCACTTGCTAAGCTCTTATGTATGTTGTTCTCTGGGTTTTAAGTGGTAATTTCAATGCAGTTATTTCAGTGTATCCTGAAACTTTATAGACTTTATAAAGTTTCCTTTTTAAAAAAAATTATTATTCCCTCCTCCCCTCTCTGCAGATTGCTACTAAACAAAAAACCCTGACTAGGTAAAACTTTTTCCCCCACCTTGGTTTTTCATCTTGTGATACTTACACAATCTTTTTTCTGAGTCTAAAATGCTTTTGCTCTTCACAAAGGCAAGTAAGCACAGCAGGGGCTGTGTCTTTCCCACTGTGAGTAAAATAGGGTTGTTTTGGGGGAAAGAAAATCAGGAGAGATGAGGTGTACAAATCTGACAGTGCTGTTCCAGCCATTTCTGAAACAACTTGTGCAAATGTTCTTTATTTAGGTACTGGTGAAGTAATTAAAAATTTTGTGATTAGGCCTCCTTCCGATTGACTCACTATTATTTTGTTTAAAGGTACTGAGCTTTGGTATTTTCATTTGTTCCTTTGCAGAAATCAGTCACTCTCTCGTTACTTTTGGTATCTCCATATTTACCTTTCCAGTCAGTTAAAGGGATCTGTAGGAAAAGCAGCAATATAGGCTTAAGTAATTTGAATTTTTCAGTGCTTTTCCTTGCCATGTTTTTCTGTTCTTTGCTGTTTGTAAAAATCCCACTGGAAAATTGAAACCCGATTTGATTGTTATCCACATAATAGAATTTGTGATAGTTAGTGTAGCATCACTCTAGAAATACCTGGTGTTATTGAATTTCACTGCAACTAGGCATAATTAATCTCTTCTCTCATTTAGCTCAGTTTATATTTCAAATTGGCAACTTAGCGGTGAATTCATGCTCTGCTCTTACAGCATGAAATCGTGACTAGCTTGAAAGTAAAGGCAACTTCCAGTAAACTAAATATGAAAGCTGTGTAGAAAGAAAAATGTGGAGAGACCTGTCAGCTTGTGTTTTGCATCGTGAAGTTTTCAGATTGTCAAGATGAAAATAAACTCACTTTCATGAAGTCAATAGAATATGAAGAAAGCTTTGGTAACCACTATTCTGTAGCGATTTCTCGTGCCTACATAATACTAGATGTTCTTAAATTAAATGTGATTGCTGGGATGGTTTTTCAAGTAATAGCTGTTGGGCATTGGCACTGATGCCCAGACTCTGGAGACAGCAGAAAGCATTGCGTGACTTTGGGAGGTATAGATTTATTTCTGCCTTTCAATGTCAGGCAAGGTATACTAATATACTGTTTTCCTTGGGTGAAGATTAGGTTTAGTGTGAACTCTGGAAAGCATTTCACTCCTGTTGAAGGTGATTCAGGGATTTGGAGCCAATCTAAGTTTAGAATTCTGCTCAGTTTATTGAAGAGCAGAAGTAATTGTTTTTCACTGCGTATCTAATTATAAAATACATTTGAGAATGCATTTCATAATTCATTAGTTGTAGTAATCTCTTTCACTGCTTGTTTTCTTGTGTCTCTTCAAGTATCTTCTGTGGTTTGAACACCCAAACACATGACTCTCTTGTGAGTTCATTTGCTTGCACATTTAGTGTGTGATACAGTGTAGCACTTAAAAACTACCAAGATAGGTATTTTGCATTTGACACCTAAATTAGCATCTCACAGTGTTAATTACATTATAGCCCAATAGTCTTTCTTTATGTAGGACACTTGTAAAATTAATCATTTCTTCTTTAAAAAGCTGTTGCTCTCTATGTCCTGTCGCATTCTTCATTTTCAGTGTAGTGATTTAAGTGTTTTATTGATATCTCTGTCTTTTTCTCAACAGTTTTCAAAATCTTGTTAATGTGATGGCATAAACTAGTAAAGTGTTTGGATTACATCATGGATAACAGCAATGATGATTGATATTATTTGAGTGGCACAGGAAGAGTCTGCTGTATGAAATGCCAGAAGTTTGTGTTTCTTCTAGCTTTGCAATGGTAAGTATTTTAGGCTTTGTGCTAAGTAAGTAATAACTTTATCTTGTCATGTAAGGTTTATTTCTTACAAAGTAACATACCAGAAAATCAGTAAAGATTTCTGGCTTGCATATTTTTTCTGATGTCTGTAGAGTTCAGCAATAATTGCTAACCAAAGTTTACATTTGAATTTGGTTTAGTCAATTCTGCTGGTATCAATTTGAAATGTCAGTTACTCATCCTTAATGTGTGTTAGCTTTAATTAGAACAATATAGGAGAAATGGAATATGTAAATAACTCTCTTTTCCATGTTTGAGTTCAATCCCAAATGAGATTTCTCTTCAGAAGATATTGAGCTTGCATGTAAAAAGGGAGAGTATACAGGCAAGTTTATCCATGTGGAAAATAGGTATAGAAAAACATTATAGACAACAGGCAGGTTTTTTTCTCTCTCTTCAAGGCACCTGCTGATGTTTTGCCTGTTTGACCTATTATTTATATTTTTCTCTTAAGACAGAAACCATTGCACAGCTCACATTTTTTTACTTTTAAGTGGAAAGAATGGAAGTCAGTGTTGTAGCAGTTGTTTACGTGTTTCCAGGAGTACAAACAGTGCACCTTTCCAGGCATTTTTGTAAGGCAGTGGGAATAGCTAACATGCAGGAGGGTTGTAGCAGCACAAATGAAATGCAGTTTTGAGAACATTCGAAACTTCCACTTTTGTCTTTCCTCTGGTACACAGAATGATGTGCTGTCTTACACAGTTGTGTGTGGAGCTGTACCACAGTTTCACAGAATGATGTGCTTTCTTATGCAGCTGTGTCCTGAACTACACCAAGCAATACTTTTAGGATTCATTGCTTTCGTTAAGAAACACTGCTTGCCTTATGAATTCCTGTCAAACAGGTTACAAGGTGTACTGGTCTTGTCCCATTGCCTCTTTTCTGCTGTAGGACCACCTGACACTTAAACAGTAGATTTGTGAGAATTTATGCTTTTTTTTTTTTTAAATTCTTTGCTGAAGATGAAAAACACCTATTGAAACAATTGTCTCCATTTGTCATTTTCAACCTTTCTAGATAATGCGTGAAAGGTTTGATTCCATATTGAAAATTTTAAATCAAATATAATAGGTCAGTTGAACAGGTTTGTATAATCTGGAATTTGGGAAGGTGTGACATCGTGCGCAAATGTGAGTCTGTTCATTATCGTATTAGGACAGGTTTGTGTTAATGGACAGTTTGACGCATTGAATTTTTAAAGATTAAATGAATAGAAGGGTAAGACTGTACTGATGTCTTCTCAAAATTTTATTTTGAGATTGGACATGTCAAGTACTCCTACATTTCACCCTGAAATGTGAAATACAGACACTCTCAAACTGTATGTTTGAAACTCATCTTTGAGTCTGAATTTACTTAAATGTGGTGTAGGTGATGATTCATCTCACCAACTGTATGAGAAGTTTAAAACTGGAGGAGACTTGGGAAACAGCCTTCTGGTACCTCTGAGGAGCAGACTGATGGAGCCAGGCTTTTTGGCTTTTTGGTGATGTAAATGATGCAAAAATAGGGGAGGCCTCACCTGAGTATTAAAAATACAGTATTTTCACTATGAGGACAGTTCAACACTGGAACAGGTTGCCCAGAGAAGTTGTGGAATATCTGTACTTGGTGTTTTTCAAGACCCATCTGGACAATGTCCCGTGTAACTGAGTCTGAATTTAATCCTGATATTCATTTGAGCAGGAGGTTGGACAGGATTACCTTCCAAAGTCCTCTCCAGCTGGAATGATTTTATGATTCCAATTCAGAAATCATGATTTATTTCATTTTTACTGTTAATGACTGTAATTATTTTTTACTGGTATGCTTTATTTATTTTTTAATCTGGTGTTAAATTAGAATTGCAGTTCTGTTTTGTTATTTATGAACCATTTGTTTTTGTTTTAAGCAACATTTGTTGTGAGCAGGCAAATGGGATTTTAATGGTTTACTTCTCAGCATGTGAAACCATGTAACTGGATGTTAAAAATGTGATCTCATACATCTCTTTTGAGAAGACAAACTTAAATAATAATACCAATACATTATAGCATATGTGCGATACATAAAAAGTGTATTTTAGTGGCTAGAGGCTAACTGGAACATTCCAGCCTTACATAAGGCATAAATAGGAACATTCACACACAAGTGCTTGAGCCAGAACAACCACAAACACTGAGTCAGCTACTTGGTAGCTTAAATGGAAAACTTTTTTAATGCCCTAAAGAAATGCCACAGAAATAAGCAGTATGAGTACAGTGCAGAGGTTTACTCGGTTTTACATTGGTACATTTGTGACAATATATTCTTCAGATTTGCTGTGTCTGTAGGTGTTCTTAAAATATTTTTCTGACTGTTTGTTTACATTTTTGAAGGTTTCCCCATGAGTGGATCATGATGAATATACTTTAGGGACTTGCCATAGTATGGCTGCTTCTCGATCTACTCGTGTTACAAGATCTACAGTGGGTTTAAATGGTTTGGATGAAAACTTCTGTGGTAGAACATTAAGGAACCGTAGTATTGCTCACCCAGAGGAAGTTTCACCCCATCCTCAAATACGATCAAGGTCACCAAAGAAGAGGCCAGAGTCTGTGCAAGCTCAGAAGGGCAGTAACGGTGGAAGAACTACTGATTTGAAACAACAGAGTGCTCGGGAGTCATGGGTGAGCCCTAGGAAGAGAGGACTCTCTACTTCAGAAAAAGATAATGGTGATAAACAAACTGTGGAAAATAGTGAAAAAAACCAAGCAGAACCTGTTTCACCAGTTTTGAAAAGAATTAAGCGCTGTCTCCGTTCTGAGGCACCCAACAGTGCAGAGGAAGACTTGCCTGCTAAAGCAGAGAAGGAGTCATTGGAGCATAAGAGCTTAGTGTCGGACAATGATGCAGTCTCCACGGGGACTAAGCGAGCTTGTCGATGTCTTATATTGGATGATTGTGAGAAAAGGGAAGTTAAAAAGGTGAATGTCTGTGCAGAAGGATTTAATAATTCTGCAGTAGTTGAAGAGGTTGCAGGCTATCAGACTGTCAATGGAGTTGGTGAGAAAGACTCAAATTCTCTCAACTGTGATGACTGTCAGCTTGATGGGAACACTAAGCAAAACAGTGCTGGTTCCTGTATGGCCAAGGACAAAACAGTAGCAGAAAACGGAAACTCATTTGCCCATTCTTCGTTGTTGCTTAATAGCAGCAAAGAGGACAGTGTTGTAGACCATTATGTGCCTTGCACAAACTCTCAAGAACAGGTAAAGTTAGAGGACCACAAAATAATAAATGACTGCTTGCCTGAGGAGCATGCTAACCAGGCGTATGAGCCAGCTGCAGGGTCCTTTTCTGAAATCCAGTCATCTTTGTTAAGGGATTCGGAGGAGGAGGTGGATGTTGTAGGAGATAGCAGTGCCTCTAAGGAACAGTGTGCTGAAAACACCAATAGCAACCCGAATACTCAGCATGACAGTGCAGCAATCTCAGGTGAACCTGAACCACATTCTTCAGTGCTGAACTGTGTTTCAGCTCCAGTGACATCTGTGCTGGAACTTCAAGAACACAGATACACGTTGAGAACTTCCCCACGAAGGGCTGCCCCTGCCAGAAGTAGCCCTCCTAAAAATAACTCTCCTTGTAGAGAAAACGGACAGGTTGAGGAAAATAATCTTAGTCCTACAGAAAAGAATATACCTGTAGGTATTAATAATATCAATGGATCTCCCCAAAAGTCTGAAGAAATTAAACAGAATGAAAAAGAGACAAATTGTAATACGGGGGATCATGGGAGTGATGGACTAACAAAGCCACTTTCTGAGGCTAGGCTTGCTGCTGGATGTGTACCATCTGCCAAAGAGAGTGCCAACATCCACACTGCAGAGGAGGATGAGGAAGAGCCTGATGTGTATTACTTTGAATCAGATCATGTGGCATTGAAACACAACAAAGAGTATGTGTAACTATGGTAACCATGAATTCTGCTTTTGTTTCTTACCAAAAATATGTACATTATTGGTATTTAAAGTACTTCCACAAAAATTTCAGTGCTGTATAATTTTCATACTCTTCAGTCTTAATTTTTCTTCCTTGTTTCTACCTCAAAAAAAATTAAACTATTTAATATGCAGTATGGTACAGCAATGTGGTTTATACATTTTTAGCAATAGGAATTCTTTAGCCAGAACTTGGTTTTTTGGGTTTTTTTTAGTTGGGTTTTTTTTGTTTGTTTAAAAACATATCTGTTATCTCTTTTCTCTTAAAAACCATCTGGAAGGAAAACCAAAAGAATTATAACCTTTAATTAGGTTTCAGTTATTTATCAGCATATCCAGTAGGCACTGCAGGTACAGCTTAAGCAATTACTGTTCTGCTGTACATAGAATTTAAGGTTAGACACTTTTTGCAGTGTGTCATGGGAAAGGCTTTGCATTACTTCATTAGGGAGGGTTAAGTGATCAAATGCAGCAATTTCAGAACTTTCTCCAGAGTAAATTATGTCTACATTGCTGTTGATATTCATTAAATGTCAATACAGGTGTGTTCAAATTATTATTAGAGAAGAGCATTAACTTGGTTTTGTGTTTGTCATCTGAATGTCTGTAAGTAGAAGTGTGGTAATTACACATTTGTGGTAACTGAAAAATTTTTGAAACAAAAGGGCAATTCTCTCACTGAAGAACCTTTACATGGAGTAAATTTGTCTTCAGGTAATAGATCAGGACCCAGGTTTTATTGCACAGTCCATGTAATGCTGTTTTGACTTCTATTTTGTTGTTTAGTAGGTGTTCTGTATTTAGTTGTGGGGTCTGAAAGCCCAAGTGCAGATGATCTTCAGTTTGCCTCATACGAATAGTTGAACCACTGCTGGTAGTGTCTGTAAATGATCACAGCACAAGTTTTGTGAGTGTGGGGCACAAGGCACAGCTGAATGTTTCATCCAGCACCACTGGGTTTTTTGATATTAAAGCTGCATTATTTTTATAATGAAATTTTGTTCAGTACTGGGTATGAATCAATCATTTTCATCAGAGTGAGTTTTGAAGTGTAGCATGGTTTAGACAAACTGTGATTTCAAAATAGTGATCAGATGTCTGCAGCTTCAGCCAGCAGCCCAAAGTGTACACTTCAGCCCATAGATAGAAAGGTTACTGTTCCTTAAATTATAAATGGAAAAAAGGACTGTTGTCTTTCGACTTCTTTGGATGGTTTTGTATCTGTATGTAGTATGACTTTATCTGCTGTAGTACACAGGTAAACTATTAAAGTGGTGTGGGTTTTTGTATTTATTTGGTTCAACATGGTGATAGGAACCTTCTAAAGATCCAAAGTCTATATTTTGGTACATGAGTGCGGTTGTCATTTGTCCAGAACTTTGTAGTTCAGGAGTTAATTGAGTGTAGTGCACTATATCCATGCTCAAATTTAAAAAGTACCAAGGTTCATTAGAGGATACTCTTAATTTACGTGTTACAATTCTTGAATAGTGTCTTAATTACACCCTTGTTTAATCTTATTTGGTGATTATTTTCTAAAATGTTAAGAAAAAAGGTTCTAGCAGAAATGTATTCCCCGTTTAGTCAGATGCATAGAATTCCAGGGTTCTCATGCTGTTAGTGTAGGTTTAGATGAAGGTAAAGGCTGTCCCCTTTGCTTATGGTATTTCTGGCTAAGCAAAGTGTGCTTCAAATGGTGCTCAGCTTGTTTTTCTCTCCTTCATCAGTTTGGGATTAGACTTGTCTTTATGGGTGATTTTTTTCTCTGGTTTATAAGTCTTTTCTAAAAGCCATTTCAGAGAGACATTAGCACCTTGGCCAGTTTGAGGAGTCAGACTTCTCCAGGAAGGCATTAGTATCATTCTCTGGATGTTGCACAGCAGAAAAATCCCTGTATTCCTCCGTGTCATAGAAGCAATTTGATATGTCTGTAAATTGAGGTTATTTCTTGTGATATTACATAGCTTGATGACATACACATTCGTAGAGTTAATTTTCACTCTCCCAAGAAATTACTATGACATTGATAAATTATGAATATACCAAAACCTTCAAAGGCTGCTGCTAAGACTTGCTATAAGAAAAACTACTAAATGTATATTGTAGCATTTCTGTATGAATTCTGCTGCTTTTTGAATCTTGAGTGTTTAAACAACATTCATATATTAATATTTCTGGGAAAACTGGATGGTATAATAGGAAAAATAACCATTACAGATTATGGAATATTATTATTCAGAGAGATGGATGATATGATGGATGTTCCACAACCCCTGTTACAGTAGATCTCTCCTACAAAGACAGATGTGACATCTCTAGAAGAAATTTCGTTGCAACATAGACATTCTTGTAGATAATAACAGACTGATCTGGGAGGTTATATAGTTGTAAAGTATTGTTAATGTTCATTTTTCTGTTGCTGCACATATAAATTTTTGTGGATTGTAATTCCTCTCAGAAAAGTATGGTTTGGTGCACATTTGAGAAATTTGCTTCTGTTGGCTAGCTCTGAAACCTTTGTGTTTTCTCTTGAGATGATTTCATCAAGACTGAACTTGTTCATTTAAATCTTTCTACACTGCTGAATTTTATATGCTGTGCTTAGTATTTTGCATATGCCTTTCCCTAGGAGTTTCTCATATCTCTTTGCTGTCTCTTTTTATACTTTAATTCTTTCTTATACTGCAGTAACTTACTGTGCAGTGTTTTGTTTTAGTCTTAGTACTTTTTCCCCATGATTTCATCAAGACTGAACTTGTTCATTTAAATCTTTCTACACTGCTGAATTTTATATGCTGTGCTTAGTATTTTGCATATGCCTTTCCCTAGGAGTTTCTCATATCTCTTTGCTGTCTCTTTTTATACTTTAATTCTTTCTTATACTGCAGTAACTTACTGTGCAGTGTTTTGTTTTAGTCTTAGTACTTTTTCCCCTCAGTGTTTCA